GTGTTGGGACCATCACGAGCTTCTTCTGTATGGGTGTTGGGACCATCACGAGCTTCTTCTGTATGGGTGTTGGGACATCACGAGCTTCTTCTGTATGAGTGTTGGGACACACATGGGTCTACTGCATGAGAGTTTGACCATCACAAGCCTCTTCTGTACGAGTGTTGGGGCCATCACAAGCTTCTTCTGTAAGAGTGTTGGGACCATCACAAGCTTCTTCTGTAAGAGTGTTGGGACCATCACAAGCTTCTGTATGAGTGTTGGGACATCACGTGGGCCTACTGCATGAAAGTGACCATCACAAGGATTTACTTTATAAGAACTGGGACAATCACAAGCTTCTATTATGTGAGTTTTGATTCACAGGGGTCTACTGTGTGTGTTGGGACATCACAAAGGTCTGCTGTATGAGAGTTGTGCCATCACAAGCTTCTACTGTATCAATTTTGGGACCATTACATATTTCTTCTGTGAGATTGTTGAGACATGCCAAGGGTCTGTTTACATGATGTCTTCTTCCATGTGTCAAAGAGCAGTAAAGACAAAAACATGGTTTTACTTGTATACCTTTATTTCATTCAAGAGAGCAGATAACAGAGTCGGTGGTACATATATACACTGTTATCAAAATAGAGAGAATGTCCGGTGATCACACATGTGAATGAAAGAAAGCTACACCCAAAATACTTCTGGTAAAAGATAAAAATAAATAAAATGACAAAGGACGGTATTTGTTGAACCCGATTGGGAAAGTGACAAGAAAACAACTTGATTCTTGCCCATGTGTGACATGTATACAAGTCTGTGCGAGTGTCTGTCTGTACCAGTGGGTCCAGATGTTAGTCTGTCTGTATGTAGGGTCTGACTCACCCAACACTACCCCAGTGTGGATATCTGGATGTGGGTTCAGTTCTCACACTGATGTCTACGTTTTGTAACAACTATGTAGCTAACTTAATAGCTAACTTTAAAACAAATTCAACCATCATATTGTCACCATACATTCCTACTCAACAAAGGAAAAAATGCAAATTTCACCATTTAAAGATTAGTGTTTGCAAATACGGTCCAAACCCTTTTATTTCTTCATCTTAAAACACAACCAATATTTATCAATTTTCTGACCTAACAGACTAATAAAGATATGATTCCTCATACAAAACTTTCAAAATCTGAATCAACTGTTTTGCAGTTTTAAAAATGTGTTGTTTTGTTTTTTACATATCCAGATAAAATACAATCCAAAAATAATGTTACATGTAATACACAAGTCCCTAACACTGTTACAGTTGACATTCAAATTAGTGAAAGCTGGTAGTAGGAACCATATCATTTACTCTTGACCCTTTGTTTCTATCAAAATACGGCTTTACATCGATCAACACTGATGGAGATGGTTTATGCATTTTATGATAACATACATGTAAACTCCTTACACTTTGAGCAGATTACTACACGTGTGATATGTACGAGGGCCTTTGGATGATGAGAGCATATCAGCAACAGTGAATACTCACACAAAACTGATGATTCAGCACTTTTAACAGCTTTGTCATAAATATCCATTGTCTACACGATGCACAGCAATGTGTTGGACTGTTCCTGCTGGAAACTCACTCTGATATGTAGACAGTTGTACTTATGTACATACGGCTGGTAAACCTTGTACCTAGAGATACTGGTACTGGCAAACTAACGAAAGAAAAACTGCACTGTACCACTTACCCTCAATAAGCAGGTATGTAGCCAGACACCCTGATTCAAGTATGCAAGACACTTCAGTGCAGAACATCATTACTCAATGCAAATTACGGGATAGTCAAAAGGTTGAAGTTTGAAACATTCAAATTTTTGCATGTGCATTTTTCAGTTCTCAATGTTGACTGGATAACTAGGTGTCACTTTACTGCACTGTTGAGATCAGTAGGACTTGATGTCATTAATTGTAGATATCACAAACTGACAAATTACCGGACAGTCAAAAGGTTCAAAACTGTAAAGGCAAAACTTTTGAATATTTGCAGGTGCATTTTTCAGTTTTCAAAAAAGACAGTGTAATTTGGTGTCTCATTACTGCATTGTTGAGATCAATATGTCCTGATGTCATTAACTGTCCATGATGTCACGACCTAATCATGTTTTGTCCCCAGGATAAGCCTTTTAGAAAGGATACAATGTTATTTGTTTCAATTTTTCTCTCTTCATATTCTTTCCTAAATGGACAATGTGCCGAACAGAGTAAACTCCTTGATATTTTGAAACAAGCAGAGTGTGTGACTCAAATGAACAAAGAAGCACGGGGTACTCATGACACATCTCATTGTAACTGATCTCTGAATGTCCCTGTGTTGATGTTTTACGTGTTGTTAACACTGCACTCGTTAATAACCCAGCAGTCTGGACCAGACAATCCAGTGATACGAAGAATGCATCAAACGAGTCAGAATTTTTATTGAGTCAGCTCTTAAGACAAGCATGATTTGCTGAGACCATTTCTCACTTGGACTTTTATGGGGGAATGCAGATGAAGACGACTGCTCTATGCAGAGGGGCTGTGCTGGTGAGCTGTGTGCATGTTTTTTCTTAAGTTGTGTTTACCAGTAGGATGGAAACATGTCTGGTTTTCTATCCCGATCAGTCATTAACACAAACAACCTTGTTGATCTCATACAGAAGTTCTGCATAAGGTCAAACACATGCATTACCTACTTCATTTCATGAACAGAAAACATATATTTCATTATCAACAACTGCTATCATTTTACCGTTGATTCAAATCTGTAAAAATATACAACAGCATAAAATTACAGCAAAACACACAAACATGATGGACAAGAATTCCGCTTTGTTAAAGCTATATTACAATTGGATCAACAAATCAGAGAGGCTCATTATTTTGGCAGAAACATCAAAATATCTGTTAGAGATCCAAGATAGTGAACAACAGAGTAAACTGAAGATCGACTACCTGGTAACCATGACGATGAGAGATCAAGTAAAGACAATAGGGTTGAAGGGTTGGTTCATGATGAGGAGGTGAAAAGAAACTGGAGGGTTGGAGAGGGAGGGAGATGTATTTAATAACTGGTTTCCAGTTCTGGTAAATTGGTTCAAAGTGTCAGATCATGTCTCCCATTAGTAAAATATCAACTGTTTGTGTATGTCTATGGTAGCCATGGTCACAGGGTGTAATTCTATTCTTCAACCAGATATGACTGAAAGACTTATCACAAATTTCCATTCCAATCAGAAACAGTGAACATGTGGAAGCCTTGGTGGCTGAGCAGGTTAGGTGGTTGACTTTGTGTGCAGGCGATTATTACATGAGGGTGTGGGTTCGAATCCGGGATGGGATTCAACCCAACAAAAGTACAAGAATCTGTACTTTACTGAGCAAGTTTAATCCCTAATATAACATATGTTACAGAGAACAAGGAGCCTTATTATGCTACACCTACTACATCCCTCTCAAACACCCCCCTGAAGATCCCCAATTCCACCACCTCCTCGTCCAACCCAACAGTATCAACAGCAGGACTGTCAGTCTGCTGCCATGAAAAACATTCAAATGAAGATGCTTTCTGCATCCAGTTTACATCAATGAATTGCACCATGTAAGTCAGAACACTCCTGTCATTAAGCTTCCATATTTCCATGGAAATATTATTGAGCCCTACAACAGTCAGGTAAAAGCCACTCTCTCAACAGAATAATTGTAAAATTATAAAAATACAACATTGTCATATTGTTGATTCAAAGTTATCTCCTTTTTCAATCAGTAAAATTTGATTATGTTTTTAAGGATTTTCAAATTCAAATACATCTGCACTTTCCATCAACTATGGCTCATAATCAGATCATATTGATAGGATTGGGATGAATTTCTAGTGCCATGTATTCCAGGAACAGTGACATCTGCCACAAACACATGTCTGTGACACCAAGGTGACCAAGGTGACCAATCACTGAACAAAGGTCACTAGTATGCCATATTGGGGACATATACCCCGGGATATATGTACAAATATACTATGTGTACAATTATATACACCATGTGTACATACATACATGTGCTAAAATCAATAAGTGTACAAATACACCAGATGTAAATATACACCTAGATTGTAAATACACTAGTGTTTTAACTATCCTGGTCTGTGTATCCACCAAATAATGAAAATATACTGCTCAAAAGAAGTAAAGGAACACTACTTTTTCACATAACAGTTAATCTGTCATGAAACAAACTACAGCATTATGAAAGAATTGTGCCCTTCTACTTGTTTTCAGCAGTATAAATTCAAGCTGTTAAACCATGGTGTAAATATACACAAAGATATACACTACCAGGGCTCGATTTAAGAAATGTTAACCTACTTGCACCGGGTGCAACCTAAGATGAAACCCTAGTTGCACCAGCCAAATTCCAGATGCACTGCTTTTATTGTAATATGTAATGAAAGAAATATGCTCTTGAATTATGTACATATTTCATTCAGAAGTTTACCTACTAAAAAATTGACTTGCACCTGGTGCAAGTTAGACTAATAACTAGGTTGCACTTTGTAATATTTGGTTGCACCAGTGCAAGTAACAAAGCACTAAATCGAGCCCTGACTACACTAGCATTACTTCATGATACACAAATACAGCATATGCAGATATACACCAAGGTGTACAGTCACGCTCCAGGTTACACACACAAAACACACACTCTTATGACAGATACGCACAGTAATGTCCGAACAAACTGTATCTAGTGTGATTATTATGACCTTCACAATATATTATGTCCATACACAATATGTCAGTATCGAGATGTAGTGTACACTCTGATAGTAAGGCAGCTGTCATATGCATATACAAGTTGATGACCACTACGACGCCATCTGTCCAGAACCATACACAGGGGAGACAACCGCTGTGCAGTTAAACATGATCTAAAGGGGCATGGGCAACAGCCTTTAAATCAGAAACTAAAAAGCAGCACAAACTCCTTCTTTCCACATGAACACAATTCTTTAAGCGGCTGCCGCACGACCTACTTTGGCCGAGATTGCATGTATGAAAACATGTCCAGCACAACAACATTTGAATTCAATATCTGAATTTAACGAATTAAGTAACTTGTAAAACATACTGAGACATATTCAGTAACACAAAGGCCATTATCAGGAAAACATGTTAGTTCCAATCAGATACATTTATGTTAAGTAGTTTAGGGACTGGTACTATGCTATAACAAGGGATCTAGGGACAGTGAGAATGTCTAAAGACTCATATTTTGTTGGAACCCCACCCAACTAACCCCTAAACACATGTAAAAAATATTTTCGTGTCCCTTACACCCTAAAAGAATGAATAGTCTCCACATAAAGTCCAACCTAAATGTTTTTGTTTGAAAAATTAGAACCAAGCCATTTTTCTCAGTCCCAATTTATAGCTGTAATAAACTTTGGAAACGTATCCTCTCTAGCTATTATGCCATTTTTTTATAATCCCACCTGTCCTAAATGACCAGTCCCTTAGCTGAAACTTGAGTCAGGGTAAGTGAACACTATCACACAGCATAGGAGGGTCACGCTCCCTCTCTGTAGCAGCTACTTGAAGTGCAAACACACTATATATGCAGCGACAACAAACGACGTCACGAAAATCATCACATCTCGTCAGTATCAGCTAAATAACATGACATATAGTACACCAACATTTGATTTATTACTTGATAATTAACCTGTTTTTGATGACTGTGATATCCTTCATGAAAACAATGAGTCAATGTCTAATGCCAAAATAATATTTGTATTTATTAAAATAATGTATATCAGTTAAAAATCGATGATAGGTAAGTAGCTGAAATCTGGTGTTAATTTAGTTTCTACTTCCCAGACACGGTGGGTGTTCATGGATCACAGCATTGCTGGAATGTGGACATGATTAAAGGGGCAGTAGGACAATGGCTAGTGTGGGTAGGCCATACCGCCATGTGAAATGGGCGGAGTCACTGAGTGCGCTGACAGCACAACAAAATATCAAATAAATAAAACATCGGACATGCGGAAAGAATCCACGAACAAAGCCAGAGAAGAGGTGAAATTGTTGTCATTTAACATCATCATATTTTGATTCATTTCCTCTAAGACATCGCATAACTACGACAGTTGCTTCACAAATATTACAAACATTCACAACCTCTGGCTGGATGGATCTCCAACCTCGAACATCACACATAGCTCTAGCATCAGCGTACAGAAATTCAAATAAACTCTTCCAAGTGATTTGCGAAACATGATGCACACTTGAGTAGGTGCTATGTCTACTGAGTACCTAGACATAAACTCAAAATTGTAAGTTTACAAACTAAACTAAATGGCAGGCCAAGCACACATCTGAACAGACAAGGAAACGCCAGGTCCTGATGAAGTCAATGCATGGAAATGATGCTGCAACATCCGATGACGCATCCAGATTCCGATGTAGCAAGGCCCACTCTGTCTGAAGAACACATGTGAGAAACATACCCAGTCATGCAGAGCAGCCCTACTACCACCTGCTCGCTGTGACAAGTCAGTATTCCTTCAAGTTTCCCCGTTAGCACTTGAACTTATTTCTTGTGACCTAGATCTTGAAAGACAAAAAGCTAGATACTTTGTGAATATTCCTTCTTGTAGCTCATCTCTGCATGGCAAGTCAGGCTCACACGGGGCCGTGCCATGCTTTGGCTTAGTACACGTATATACATATATATAGAGATATAGATATTCCTACTGATTGCACCCCGTTGCCATGCAGTGTTGCCATGCAGCAGGCAGTACTACATCACTCGGATTCCCACTGTCCATCAGCCATCTTATAATGTATCCAAGGTGAAGGTCACTCGCACGCTAACTTGCCGTCGAAGCTACTGAGTGCTATGCCAAACGCTTGTAGAGCACACATGGGATAGTTAAAGTCCATGGTAAACACGTCCTCTGCCACACGGCCGAACTGCATCACGATGTAGTCAACTGCAGAAATAATAGAATTCAATTGCTATCATCTACATACAGTAGTTAGATACGGATAACACTATGCTACTTACAGGTTTCATCTAAATTCAGAAAATATGAGCCATCATGACTCCCCTGCATGTTATTTTGAGAAGTATGTATGATCTATGAGTTTTAACCTTTATCAGTTTACAGGACAATGATAATGAAATATTTTGTATGTTCCAAGTTAAGAAACACAAAATCTTATTCAACATCATGAACATCACCTCCCAAGGAACCGTTTAGTATTATAAATCATACTGATATTTAAGGCTAAACATTCATTTCATTTTAAAGTAGAGAGTAGAACTGATAAAGATATGCTGTGTCAAATATGATATGAATACAAGACTTTAGGAGAACAGTCATGTCCAATGTAAAAATGGTGGTCTGAATTCTGGGTAAGAGTTCCTCCCGTTCCCCCATGCCAAATAACATGTATAAATTAATATATACTAAAATTATCAACAAAACCTAACACAACAATCACTAGAGAACTCACAAAAATAACTAAAAGCCCCAAAATTAATTACAATATATAGCGTCGAACCACTTTGTATGATAAGGGCCCCAGGCACGGTAATGTTACAAAAAAATATGGTGGAACGGAAGGAACTCTTTCCAAATTCTGATATCTAAACACAGGCATTCTGAACAGTAACTGAAATTAGCTACTATAATGACCAACATTGCAAAAAATGGTACAAGTAATCATCTTATCAAACCTTAGAATATCTGCATGTAATAAAATTCTCTAGATAATCAAATCAAATTCTAAGTTCTACTATAGAGAAAAGGAGCTATTGTAGTGAGTGAGTATGGGCTCGGACTTTGTACTTATGTGGGGATCTGGACCCAGGTCTTTGGTGTGACACGCAAAATTCTTGAACCACTTGACTACCCCACTTCCCTTGGAGCCATTCCAACAGTTGTAACGTACCATCATTGTCGTGTACTATCTGGAAGTTCTTCACTGAAGCCTGGGTGACACGTCCGTGGAAATTCAGCACGTAGGACTGGGTCTCTGAAACACCACATGGAAACATGTCAGACATAACAGACTTCTCAAAAACAGTAGGTAAATAGTGGATGTGGTTATATTAGCAAACTATTCAGTGTCTGAGGACATAATTATTCCAGTTTTATCAAATCAGCTGATATTGATAAATAGCTGAATCCACCCAACAGACTAATGGTTGATAGCAACAGGCGAAGTTGTACTGACCATCATTCCAGACTGGTGTTTTGTTGTGAAGCTCCAGAAGGTTCTCCATGTGTTTCCTCTTGTACCGCTCTACCAGCCCATCATGGTCCTGCAACATACCCAGTTAACAATACATACTGATTCCCCTAGAACGCACACTGATTCTGTACCAGCACACACTTATTCTGGGCTCTACCAGCCCATCATGGTCCTGCAACATACCCAGTTAACAATACATACTGATTCCCCTAGAACGCACACTGATTCTGTACCAGCACACACTTATTCGGCACCAACACACACCATTTCAACAACATCACACACTAATTAAGCAAAAACAAACACTCATTCACTAGATACACTGTTTCAGTAGCTACAAACTCATAGGCATAAGACTCCCACAACAGCCTTCATCAACTTTCATTCATAATATATAAAACTACGGTAGATTTGATTCCACTATCACCAGTGAAGGTCCAGGTTAGAATGAATCTTCAGTAACCCATGCTTGTATTAAGAGGCGACTTACGGGATCGGGTGGTCGGGCTCGCTGGCTTGGTTGACACATGTCATCGGTTCCCAATTGCGCAGATCGATGCTCATGCTGTTGATCACTGTATTGTCTGGTCCAGACTTGACTATTTACAGACCGCCGCCATATAGCTGGAATATTGCTGAGTGCGGCGTAAAACTACACTCACTAATTCCACTATCAGATATGAAGCATAGAAATGTTCTGATTACTGCTCAAGAGTTATGTCCCTTGACATGCAGCCTCCAGAGTTCCACTCACACCTCTAGGTTTCACTCACCCCTCTAGGTTTGATGTCCACTCTTTCGTGGTCCAGATTCATCCCAGGGATGATGACTGTCATCTTGCGAGGACCCTTGAAGCCCAACACATTTGTTTCCTGAAAGCAAGGGTAATGTCACTGTAGATGTACATATCAGACCTGTCACATGTAACATGAACAAGAGAAGTGGTTGGGCACCCTCGCAGTTAAAGCATTTGCTTGTCATGAGGAAGACTTTAACCGCTAGGCTACCCCACCGCGCCCCTCATTCAACAAGAAGACAACATCATCTATATCCACACTCTAAATCTGATCTTGAAGAGAATGACATGTGTGAAGAAAAGTCACACTGTCAATATTAACCAAGTTTGCTGCTGTTTTGCGCCGTTAACAATATTCCAGTTATATCATGGAAAGTTGTTGATAATCAAGTAAATACCAGGAAAACAGTAGGTGATATTACAAGCACCATGTGGGTTATGATGACACATGACTGCAAATCACTCAGCCTAACCCACAGATGCTAGGGATGCCACGATGCATCGATACATCGATACTTATTTCTAAGACGATACAATTATCGATACATTCGAAACTGTATCGATATTTAGATTTGAAAGTATCGGTTTGAATATATTTATGCATCATTTACATTTTTGTTTTTTTTTGATGATATGAGAGCTATAAATGATTATTTTTTATGCACAAAGATGGGAAATTAGAACTTTTTAATCTCTGAGTATTATTTTTACATGGACAATTATAAAATATGAGACATTAATGTTCAAAATGTAACTAAATGTACGCAATAATGCTGCGAAAATAGGTATTGTGATACATATCGAATCGTGACATTAGTATCGTGATATGTATCGATTCATGAAACTTATCGTGACATCCCTAACAGATGCATATATACTTACTGGGGGACCTCACCATGGTCCCCACAGGGTTATTCCATTTGGAACATACAGCAAAATTCAAATTATTTTGAACTGAGAATTAGAAACTACTCACATAAACAACAGCAACCATCTCACGTCTCGCCCCCGTCCCCAGCTTTCTTGGGGTTGTCACCATTATCGAACAACGTGAACTGTGTCCCTAGAAGGTTAGACCTGAAATGAAAATTTAGAAGTACCGGTAAGTGTATTGGGCTTAAAGCCTCTCAACAAATGAACTAAATATGGTTGACATGAACATTAACCACAGCCACAAGGGATGCAGGAGTATCACTTGGGATTAAATTCCAGGACCAGGTAACATGTGCCCAGCCATTTGCCGGATCAATCATAACAACAAAAATGACTGCCAAATAAAGATGGTGACTCTGACAAGGTCATACCTGAGTTTGCCAATGAAAGACTCTCCTGCACGTGACAGGTCGGTGGGGTCAGTTGAGATCAGATAGTTTGACGTCGCACTCTTCTTCCGTTTTCTTCCAGCTAACAGGAATGTCTGAATACACACAAAACAATGACTTCAGTTGCAAGAAAGCTGTCAGTGTTAATACTGTGGACTAAAGCTTACTAGTCTTTTCACTGAATGATATCTGATCAAAACATCAAGATCATAGTTTGAGGTTGGGCATGCCTGAGAGACCTATCTAGAATCATGCTAAACTCTTATGCCTGAAGAAAGCATTGCCTGCAAAAATACTATAATGGATAACATTTGCAGCATCTTTGGACACTTTATTGAGCTGGGCTCTTGCCCTGTCTGGACTCTTACAGCCTACATAAGAGCAGAAGTGGCAGTAGCAGACGTGGCAGCAGCAGACGTGGCATGATGCAATTACTCTCACCTTTTTGCCATCATCCTTCTCCATGTGAAGGAAGTAGGTGGGGAAAATACCACGATCCACACCCTTCTTGTCCCTTGTGATACGACATTTGATGGTTACACCCTGTGGCGCAGGTCTGAGAACAAAGTCATCCAGATCTTCACCCGGATCGGGTGTGTAAACACGAGGTCCAACAGCACCCATGGCAGGTCCATCAGCATTATTGCCTTCCTGCAAACAGACATAGCCACAAGTCAAAACAAACATATCACAGCTAGACAAACATGGTATTGACTGTGATCATTTCTATTCCATCCATGCATTGTGACTTGTCTTTTCCATATTGTGTTTACAGTGGTTGTAAACTGACAGTATATCTCAATGATCTCACTGTCATCATGCATACTGTATTTGGGCTACCTGTGCAATATTGCCGTGTGTCCTTGTTTTGCATTTATTTGATGTTTACAGATGCTACACATGGAATGAGGTTCTTGAGAGGTATTTAGAAGTTGGTATTCAAGTAAAGGCAAATATTATGGATGATAACTCCTTCTTAATTGTATGTCACAACGTTTCTGGGCTATTCCTTGCCCCTTCGTCAGGTGAATTGTAACAAACAAGATGAGTATATATACTAAATGTACAAGAATCCAGTGTTGCATGTATATACAATAGCCCAAAGAATACCCCAGAAACGTTGTGACATACAATAAAGAAGAAGTTGTCATCTATAATATTTGCCTTTTACTACACATGGAATGTTTTCTTTTTTTTCCAAAGCCTGATAAACAGCTTGTTAAGTGTATTGGCGAGTGCACTGGCGAGTGTAATGGTGAGTTTAATGGTGAGCTTAATGGGGGGTGTAATGGTGAGTTTAATGGTGGGTGTAAAGGTGAGTTAAAGGTGGGTGTAATGGTGAGTGTGGTCGTAGAGTCACTACCTGATTGAACTGTGATGAATTCTCCGTGGTGAATGAGGATGGTGCATCTTTCTGGTTCATTGTTCGAGGGTTGGGGGACCTGGGAGGCTGGGGTGCAATGGGCATACTCTCTGTGTCCACATCATCCTCCTCCTGGTCTGTGATGACGGTTGATAACGTCCCTGCCGATGAAGTCTTCTGAGCTCGCTGTGACCGGATTGGTGTAACAGCATCACTATCTGTACATAAAAATATTCCACTTAATTCCAGGCGGGACAAAGAATTTCAGTATTACAACAACTTGCAACAAATGTGTTCTTACTCATAATTTAACATTACCACAAAAATCATGTTTTCATGACAATTTCAAAGTAAATTTGATACTTTTTATTAAGACATATCTAATTTAAGTTCAGAGTGTAGCACACAGTTTCAGCATGGGAAATCCAAAGCAACAAGCAAGCCACACCCAACATTAGCAACACAAGACACACAGACAAAATGGCTGATCATCCTTCACACATTGCAACATCTCAGACTCTTCAGAAGGACAGTACATGGTCGAACACCTCCATGACCCTCCATATCATCAGATTAAAATTCTCCTGTGCCTGGTGTACGATACTTGGCACATACTTTCATGGGAAATGGTGACTACAAGCATTGGCATGTATCAGAACTTGGTACAGTACACTGTTACAGATCTACAAACAATGGCATAAATTACCTTTTATGTCAGTACAGACTTACTAAGATTGGCATAAATTGGCACTGGATACAGAACATCTTTTGACTTATTAGAGTTAGCATAAATCACCTTATGGTATGGTACATCATTACAGGTTACTAGCATTGGCATACATTGCCACTGGATACAGTACATCATTACAGACTTTGAAACACCTATCACTGAACTACTACCAGCACTGATTAAGATACTACTGTCCTCCACTATGTGGTAATGACCTCGGTTGACTGTAATACCCGATACTGTCTTCAGCACAGCATCTGACAGCTCGCGTTTACTCAATCCTGCACTGCCGCTGTTTTCACCTGAACAGAAACGTCACGTGTCAGCAGATTAGTACTGGCAGGCTGATCTAGCTTAACCTTGGTGCAGTGTGTGTGAGCCATAATCTTCAGCTTATCAAAAACCAGAGTTAGATCAAGCAAAGAATTAAGAATCAAATGCATAGTTTATTTAATGTGTCTGAATATGATATTGAATAATGGTTAAAAAAAACAGGAAAACGGGAATGAAAGCTCAAGTAATATTAGTGTAATGGTATACCCCGGCACCAACATGAAACACAAGGAAAGCCAATGTGAGGTACTGTAGCTCACTATCCCTGAGTGACTGAGTGAGTGAGTGCATGAGTTTTACGCCAATTTTTTGCAATATTCCAGCAATATCATGGCAGGGGACACCAGAAATGGGCTTTACACATTGTACCCATGTGGGGAATCGAACCCAGGTCTTCGGTGAGACGAGCAAATGTTTAAACCACCAGGCTACCCCACCGCCCCTCTATCCCTGAGGGCCATGTGTGTGAGAGTGTGTCTGTGGCAGCCAAGGAGGGATAGGTAATTGATGTCACAATAACAACCACCCTCTTTCTTTATGCACTGTAGTATGTGTTTGTTTTTTACTGCTGCACTCAGCAATATTCCCACTCAGTCAATAAATAATCCAGTCTGGACCAGACAATCCAGTGACTGACACCATGAGGATTGATCTACTACAGGGACTTGTAACAAACACTAGCATCAAGGCATATATTGTCACTGCTGGGGTCCCAACACTATAAATGAGTGGGATGTAAATATGCTCCCTGTCAATACACCTATAAAACTATATATGTATTTTAAGGCTATCCCATGAAGGTCCAGGTTAGAATATCTTCAGTAACCAATGCTTGTCATAAGAGGTGACTAATGGGATCGGGGGGTCAGGCTCACTGACTTGGTTGACAAGTGTCATTGGTTCCCAATTGCGTAGATTGATGCTCATGCTGTTGATCACTGGATTGTCTAGTCCAGACTCAATTATTTACAGACCACTGCCATATAGCTGTAATATTGCTGAGTGCGGCGTAAAACTAAACTCACTCACTCACTTTAAGCCAATAGATTTAGCTCCAATATGAGACAAATATGACAAAAATCAAATCTGTTCTTTGGGAGCTAACTTCTTTGGAATCTCTAAATATCTTGAATTTGTTATTTTGAGCCAATCAAAATCCTTAGTTGGAATGTGAACTGCTAACTTACCGAATTTATTGTTTGTACATTGTTCTCCGGTCAAATAAACTAGATCATTATTTTATATTTCTGACCTTTCATTTCTCTAAGGAGACCAACATTGTGTTTTGGTTGATTTATCCAGTCTTCCTTAGTGCTAGCAAGATATAGAGATATTGGTGATGATCAGAAATTGGTTCAAATGGATGATGGATAGCAGTAAACACACACCCAATGACTTTATCAAGGCTGCTCATACACTCGATAAACACACAATGTTATTTGTTTCACAGCAAAACAAGATGACTAATTCATTCTCATTCACAGACACAAGACATTAAGTCTGTTAGTATCATATTGCCAGCGACAAAGTCACTTTACTGGGTAGTTGAACATCTGAAGATGAAGGTTGGGGATTTTTAGTCCAGCCCTCTGTCAGAATACCAGCTTGGATTAACAGAGCGTCTAGAACAAAGACACAGACACACATACATCAGGAGGAGTCTACAGGACACAGACAGCTTCAGCAGACTAGGGTACTGTCTGACTTAAGAAGAAAGTTACATATTCCACAGTCAGCACATTTACCCAATCACAGGCAAGCTTCAACAGACAGTTAACCATGGCAGGCTAGCTTCAGGTGACAGTTAACCATGGAAGGCTAGCTTCAGCAGACAGTTAACCATGGAAGGCTAGCTTCAGGTGACAGTTAACCATGGAAGGCTAGCTTCAGCAGACAGTTAACCATGGAAGGCTAGCTTCTGCAGACAATTAACCATGGAAGGCTAGCTTCAGCAGACAGTTAACCATGGACATGTAGCTTCAGCAGACAGTTAACCATGGAAGTCTTGCTTTAGCAGACAGTTAACCATGAATGTCTAGCTTCAGCAGACAGTTAACCATGGGCATGTAGCTTCAGCAGACAGTCAACCATGGAAGTCTTGCTTTAGCAGACAGTTAACCATGGACTTGTAGCTTCAGAAGACAGTTAACCATGGAAGGCAACTTTCAGCAGACATTTAACCATGGACATGTAGCTTCAGAAGACAGTTAACCATGGAAGTCTTGCTTTAGCAGACAGTTAACCATGGACATGTAGCTCCAGAAGACAGTTAACCATGGAAGTCTTGCTTTAGCAGACAGTTAACCATGAATGTCTAGCTTCAGCAGACAGTTAACCATGGGCATGTAGCTTCAGCTGACAGTCAACCATGGAAGTCTTGCTTTAGCAGACAGTTAACCATGGACTTGTAGCTTCAGAAGACAGTTAACCATGGAAGGCAACTTTCAGCAGACATTTAACCATGAGCATGTAGCTTCAGCAGACAGTCAACCATGGAAGTCTTGCTTTAGCAGACAGTTAACCATGGACTTGTAGCTTCAGAAGACAGTTAACCATGGAAGGCAACTTTCAGCAGACATTTAACCATGGACATGTAGCTCCAGAAGACAGTTAACTATGGAAGTCTTGCTTCAGCAGACAGCTGGCCATGGAAGGCTAAACAGATTCAGCAGTTGGTTATGGGACGGTATCAAATTATTGCACTATAACAGACAAAACATGTGAATGTTTTCTACAACACAGATCTTATCACCCTCTGTTCTATCCATCTAGCATCTACAGCCAACACACTACACATACAACTGGGACAGACAGCTAGAATGTTTACTGTCACTAGCAGAGAAGTCTATCCCTGAGTAGTCTCCCTCAGTGTTTGTTGCCAGGTGGTCACTATCTAGTGACCCCTCTGTCCAGTCCTCATGCTTACGAATACGAGCTACAAAATAACACACAAACAGAAGCATCATCCATCAGAGTGTCACACAACGTTGCTGGGATCACACAGTGAAGCAAAGCTACTTCATATTTGCTGGGATCCCACAGTGAAGCAAAACAACTTCATATTTGCTGGGATCCATGATTTCTACACTGATGTGCCTAAAAACAAAGCACCAAATACTGATAATGACAAATTCTTCACAATCTCAAGCATCAGTTGATCTAACCAAAGGTTATTCATTTGATGAACCCTTGCCTGTCATACAGACCCTGAAACAAAAATATCCAATAATGCCCATGCAAGTCTACAATTGCTGGCAAGTCTAGATAACTGCAGTTTCAACAGTAAAGTGTTTTAGGCTCCTGTTTATTGTATTCTATCAAGACAATCAATAACTGCTTTTCTTATGTCAAATACAGTCAAATCCCGATGAGTCGAATCTCTGGGGACCAAGTAATAGATTCGACTTATCGATGTATTCGAGACAGGTATGTCTATGAGGTAGAAAAAAAGATGATCCAGTCCTAATTCCTCCGCCTAAGCATTTATGTCTATGAGGTAGAAAAAAAGATGATCCAGTCCTAATTCCTCCGCCTAAGCATTTGTTTACCTAATGATTTCCCTATCACTAATAGGGGCACCTTATCAGTTCCAGTCTGATTAGCACAGACAGTGATTTCCGTAAAATCACTAATCTGCCTTTTTAAACCCCCCCCCCCCCAAAGGCGGAAAGGTGTGAGCTGCGCTGGTTTGTTAATTGGATCAGTTTGCTACACCAATCAACTTCTCATTGACTGACTTTGGCTTATGTATACAAGATTGCTGTTGTTTGAATCTCATGGGACCAAATTTTCTTCTCGAGTCATCGTGTGTATTTATGAGTCGAATTCGTGTAACCGGTATTCAAATGATGACAACTATAACAGGGAATGGTCGGGACCTACAGGTACTTCGAGTTATGCGTAATATTCGAGACACCGGCATTCGACTCATAGGGATTTGACTGTACTTTCATTTCAGAGACTAGATGTGAGTCTTGACGAACCCCTTCAGTTTGTTATCTGTTCTGATCAGATGTTTATCAATAAGGGATGTAAAACTGCTTGCATTTTGGACAAGTAGTACTTAAAGTCCCTCATATTCTGTTCTAGATCTGCTGCAATGAGAAATAACTCAAATCACATCAAATCTCTGTTACACTTGTATCTCCAATGTATTCATTATCTCATATCTGTATCTCTCAGTGGCAGTGTTTGGACTAGATGTAGGTTATATATTAGGTATCACATCTCTCGCTCCTTTCACTGTGTTACCTCTCATCCTGATTTAGAAATGAAAAAAGAATTATAACACGAAATAGTAAGGTAATCTGTTTAGGTTTCACCAGCTCCAACATATCTCTATCAACTTATAGACCGAGGGCTGTTCCTAATACAGGCAGTAGGATAATGTAACATATGGCCAGACCAATTTTATTTCTTGTTTTACGGATCCGCCGGTCATACCTTTTCAAGAATAAGAAAAAAATAAATAAAAAACTTCATAAATTGCCAAAATAAAAATACTTTTAGCATTTAGAAGGAATATTATTTTGACTGGTGATTTTATTTTATGAATTTTTTCCTCCTGCCTTTAGGTTTTCTGAGGACAAAAATCCGTAAAACAAGAAATAAACTTGGTCTGGCCTAAACTTCCAATTTCAAATATCTTTTGCATTGTCCCTTGCAATTTGTCATAATTGGTTGTAATTTGATGTATTTTAAAGTAATGAAAACATATTGATAACAATGTTGTTCAGTAAGCGATGTCTTTTTGTCTTATATTTTCTTCTTGTGGAATAAAAGAGACCCCTGTTTTATATTATATTCTGTTCACATTTCCATATAATTAGTTGGCGGACCATGCAAGTCATGCAATCGTTAAAGAAAATCTGCCATACTGTATGGGTCATGAGACACATGTATGTGTTGCAGGCAGCAACAGAAAACATGTCACAGAGCGGTTGAGTGAAGCTGTGTGTGTGGAAGCAGTGAGGTCGGACCCAACACGGAGGTCGGACTCAACACGGAGGTGGTCGGCTGACACAGAGAGGATGGGGAGGTGGAAACATGAGCACCAACAAACAGACATACGGATGCTCCAGAACAAAGGTGTAGTTGCAGTGCAGTACCCAAGCAGGAAAAAAATCACAAATTTTCTTACGATCATTTTTATCAATGATAACAAAATGTTAACTATAAGAGATTTCTACTCAGAAAATATCTATGACATGAGACAGAATTGGAAATATCCTCAATCAGAATCATTAACAATGATTATAGATATAAACATTGTGTCATCGATAATATCATAAACTGTTGTGATGAATAACATTTTAATTTATTCCAACAATACACAAGGATAGATCTTTACTCATGGACTGCTAAACTATGTTCAGGACAGTGTGTTGTTAGTAATCTAAGCCAAAATACCTCACCAGTAATTTGGGGGGGCATTTTTGCTCAAAGTTATATCTTGGATTTTTATTGTTTTAGTCAATTGATATTCACTGAAAGTTTATTGATCTCTGTGATCTAAGTCCATAGCCAGCCCTAATATCCAATATCCAGATAGGGGTATGAAATCCTAATAGTGAGAAATAGACCTTGTAAGACTTGCACAATGTTTTTTCTGTGTGTCCACTTAATAATTCTTCAAAATTTGAAACCTCGAACGTTGCATTTGTTGAAGAAAACAGCATGCGTATCTCCTCAGTCTATATACTACCCAAAAGAGAGGAAAGAACACCTGATTTATTCCTGTGCCATGACAAATTAACTTTAACCACACAAAAGAATCAGGGACCTGAGTCCGTTGTATTAAACAATTTTAGCGATAAGGTGATTGTAACTCCTATACCTTAACAAAGACTTAATACAGTCTTAGTACTTAAGGTGCGGTGGGGTAGCCTAGTGGTTAAAGCGTTCGCTCGTCACGCCGAACACCCGGGTTCGAATCCCCACATGGGTACATTGTGTGAAGCTCATTTCTGGTGTCAACCGCCGTGATATTGCTGGAATATTGCTAAAAGCGGCGTAAAACCAAACTCACTCACTCACTAACTTAGTACTTAAGTTGTTTTGTACAATGTCACCCTGTTGCACAAAGTGATCATAGTGCTAGACGACTGCAAGACCATAGCAAAGTATGGGAGTTACGATCACCTTAGCCCAAACATAGCTTTGTGGAACGGTGAGTCTTTTAAGTAGTACATGTTTACTATACATTATTATCAATATAACGTACAACAGAAATATATGTACAGAAGGTATACTGCATATTCTATATATAAAGGTACATCATACACTACATGTTTCTCTATTACTGGTATAATCTATGTTCTAGGAGGGAATATAGTGTTAGTATCTGGTGGTCTCAGAAACAGGAGTTAGTCAGAGCAGTTCAACACCACACTACTATAATTACCTGCTGCCCTTTTGTTTTTTTTCTTGCCCTTCTTTTTGGGTTGGGTGTTTTCTTAAAATGAACATAAATCAATAAAAACAATGCATAAAGGCGACCAGCATTCCTGTGCATACAATATGGATACAGATACACACACAGCATATGGCCACAGTTGACTGAAAGATGGAAATTCTCACCAAGACACAACAACACTGGAGGGATCAACATTTACATGCTGGACACAGAAGAATGATAAACAGCAAAAAATATATTGAACTGGCAAAAATCAGGGTTCGAAATTAACAGAGGACTGTTTGTCAGTGCATTGTAAATTTTTGTACCTTTTTCCATGACGTCGACGGCAACTCTATGGTTGATGTTTTTTTAAGATTAGTGCCATTTCTAACCCTGATAATTCACATGGATTTGTAATAACAACTCACAGAATTGACTGACAAATGAAAGTGACTTCCTGCTTCCTGACCATGAAGTTGTAATGACAATATCATCTATGACAGAGTGACCTACCTGTTCCTATTGTTGGGATATCCTCACTGTCGGTGTCACTGTTGTAGTCCTTGGACACAGTGGACGTAACATCCAACACCTGTATCGTGGTTGATGTCCCTGAGTTGAGGGTGTCAGGGCTGCCCAGGTCATAGCCTCCCGGGCCATCATATGCTGCAAGAGAAGTCATGGATGCTGATTTTGTATTGATCATGAATTTAAATATCTCATAATGACTTCAAAATGATTAACATTGCTTCAAATTGGTGAAGCACCTCACACTCTCTGCACAGTAGCCTACTGGATGATTCTGAGGGGAGATAATCCATCCACTTATATGACATATTTGACTACTTCGCACAGTTGAACATCTGTGTGTTGGAGTTTGGTTTAGTTTTAGTTTTACGCCTCACTCAGCAATATTCCAGCTATATGGCGGCTGTGTGTTGGAGATGTACACTGCAATGTGATATATATACTCACGACTTCATCTAAAACACCACCCCAGCTGTGCCACAATACACTGCATGTGCAGTGTACAGAGTACAACATATTACTGGGTATTTTTAGAAATTATTGTAAAGGAAAAACAAAAGTGAATATTGTCAAAAGCAGGAACCTTTCACTCATTTTCATAATTCATGTTTGTTTGACATTTAAGTAAACACCTGAGGTATGAATGTATTTACCTAGTGTGTCACTTTCATTGACATTTGTTAAATGAATTACAAACTATAATCTGCCAATGCACCAGTGTGTCATCCCATACCTGACAGTCTATTGATTACATTAACATATCTACAGTCACTCCTTCATTAACATACCAAAGTTGGTGGGTGTGGTTGATTTGGGCGTGGAGTCTTTGACAAGTGGACGGGACTCCTCTCTGTTTTTCCTGCCTGACGATGGTCGACTGTCGACGTTAGGCTGCATCATCCCGGGTGTCTGTCTCTTCCGCCGGTTGTTCTTCTCGATGATTTGACGCTGCAACAGTCCAAGACAAAATTCAGTTAAACTATTTCATTAAGCCTCACCTTTTTGTTTTCTGAAAGCCCATATTGACCAAGACCAAATTCCAATAAGCGTGGCCCAGCAAGGCTGATATAGCATACAGGTACTCAGATCCCAGGACAACAACCCGGTGTAAGACAGCACTAAGATCTCTGGTACTTCAGGACAAACACTATAAGGGTAGTCAACGTGTTGGCAACACTGGCACTTCAATGAAGCAATGGTTTGCAGTATACATGGTTTATCAGGTCTGGGCCCCGTTCCTCAAAATGATCGTAGCGCTACGACTTTTGTCAGTCTATGTTAAAGTATGGGAGTTATGATCATATTAGGGACTGTTAATAATTTATGGCTTGGGGTGTGGGGTGTGTGGGGTGTTTTGATGATTTTTATGGAGAAGCTTGTACAATGTGAATAACCCCCCCCAAATTTTATGCACAAAATAAGTGACCCCGCTGCATGTCATGTACAAAATTGATGACCTCCCTTATACGTGTGTACAAAATTGATGCCCCCCTAGCACGCCAGAACAAAATGGGTGACCCCCCCTTAAAATCATCATCACCCCTCCCAGCCATAAATTATGAACGGTCCCTTAGCGCTACAATCGCTTTGAGGAACGGGGCCCTGGAGCTACTGTAGATTCTACTGCACCAAGCAGAATCAGTTGTTTGAACAGAGAGTCTTCTCCGGACTAATGCAGTATGAGAAATCTGACTGATGGGACTGGATAAATTTTGTTGAAGATTTTTATATTTTTAAAAACACATCTATCCAGTAATTAAATCTAGCAAAATTAAATCTTTACAAAATCGAGTACCGTATTGTTTAACATGATGACTTAAAAACTGCATGTGACCACAGATTTTTCCAAGAGGTGACATTTCGTTATGTTAGCTACCTGTACTTTGAGCCATCTTCCTACCTTGCTGAACTAGATTCACATTTCAGAGGTTTTAACTTGACTAATAAGTGTATGCATAGTCCAACAAAATCGCATAAATAAATCAACATCTGGTTTGTAAACTGCTGTGCAGATTGCAGGATTGATTGCGGAATTAGTACAATCAACTGGTACTTTCCAAATCTTTTCATGTTGCTTGAGTAAACTGATTCACCTTATTTAGTTAGACGTGTTTGATTACAATACGGATCTTGATTACTGATCAGATTGTCTTGGCAAGGCGCTGCCATTTTGTTTGAAGCAAAAGCAATTGTATGACAGGTGGAATCTGATTGGTCAGTAGGGGAAACAGAGGAGACTCGTAATAGCCACTCTATTCCAGCATAGCTGAGCATGTATAGACAGTGGACAAATGTAGTCAGTTAACCCCTTATCCTTAGTGAGATGACCTGGAACAGGAACTGGCTAAAGAGGCCATTGTTTTTATATTTGTTGTTGCCAGACTGTGTAGACATGCACATGTCATAGCTGTTTAACTCAGGGTAAATATCAAAAATGTTACTAAGGTCAAGGGGAAAACATTTGGTTTCAGTGTAATCTGTAGCACAACTAGCACACCACACAATCTAACATGCCATTCCAATCTGTACACCTACTCCAAAATTAACACATCTACTACATCACCAACTTCACCTACTGCTGCAACAGCTACATGACACAGAAACTACACCTACTGCAACAACAGTTACATGACAACAACTTCACCTACTGCAACAACAGTTACATGACAGCAACTTCACCTATTGCAACAACAGTTACATGACAGCAACTACACCATGACACCAACAATTTCACCTATTGCTACAATTTAGTTGACACATGTCATCATATCCCATTGCATAGATCGAAGCTCATGCTGTTAATCACTGGATTGTCTGGTCCAGACTTGATTATTTACACTATTTAGCTGGAATATTGCTGAGTGCAGCATTAAACAACAAACAAATACTGCTACAACACAACACAACCACGATCAGCTACAGCTATCAAACCTCAACCACAATCAACTACAGCTATCAACCCTCACCAGCTATCAACCCTCAACACAATCAACTACAGCTATCAAACCTCAACCACAATCAACTACAGCTATCAAACCACAACCACAATCAACTACAGCTATCAAACCTCAACCAACTACAGCTATCAACCCTCAAACCACAATCAACTACAGCTATCAAACCACAACCACAATCAACTACAGCTATAAAACCACAACCAACTACAGCTGTAAACCACAGACACAATCAACTACAGCTATCAAACCACAGCGTCAATCAACTACAGCTATCAAACCATAGATCAGCCATGACTTTACAACTAAAAATTCATGCCTACCTGATAACTAGCCTGTCTACACTCATTCCTACCACAATTCAACCAACTGCTACTAAAAATAGTAAGATACCACCACAGAAAATCTTTTAATGATCTCCTTACTTCTTGACAGCCGAGGAGACAGACAGAGGGCTATATGAGTGATGTGACAGATTTAACTATTTCTGGCAGGCTTGTTTTGTACTAACATTTCCACAAGGACAGAGCAATGACGGCGCACACATCACTTATACATACACAGACAGTGGCTTCACACAGCACATACACATACCAAGCACCTTGGTCTACTGCATATGAATCCTAATGTTAGAACAGGGGGTGGGGTAGCCTAGTGGTTAATGCATTCGCTCATCACGCAGAAGACCCGGGTTCGATTCCCCATATGGGTGTAATGTGTAGGCCCATTTCTGGTGTCCCCTGCTGGAATATTGCTAAAAGCAGCATAAAACCAACCTCACTAATTCACCCATGTTAGAACATGAATCAAGACATGCTGCCATTCACAGTCACCCATTGTGCAGAAGTCATTCTCAGGTAGTCTGCTGATGATTTATGAGTGAGTGAGGTGACATTTCTTTTTTGGACATTATTTCAGTCATATGATGACCTACTGACAACAATCCAGTGATCAACAGCATGAGCATCGATCTGAGCAATTGGGAACCGATGACATGTGCCAACCAAGCCAGCAAACCTGACCACCCGATCCCGTTAGTCGCCTCTTACGACAAGCATGGGTTACTGAAGATCAAATCCAACCCGGACCTCACGGGTCGAATCTGCATGTCATGACGAACACACTGAAGGTCTTTGACAGACAATGGGGGATGACGAGGGGACAGAATCTGCATGTCATGACAAACATACTGATGTTCATTGACAGACAATGGGGGATGACGAGGGGACAGAATCTGCATGTCATGACAAACATACTGAAGCTCTTTGACAGACAATGGGGGATGACGAGGGACAGAATCTGCATGTCATGACAAACATACTGAAGCTCTTTGACAGACAATGGGGGATGACGAGGGGACAGAATCTGCATCTCGTGATGAACATACTGAAGCTCTTTGACAGACAATGGGGGATGATGAGGGACAGAATCTGCATGTCATGACAAACATACTGAAGCTCTTTGACAGACAATGGGGATGATGAGGGACAGAATCTGCATCTCATGACAAACATACTGAAGCTCTTTGACAGACAATGGGGGATGACGAGGGGACAGAATCTGCATCTCGTGATGAACATACTGAAGCTCTTTGACAGACAATGGGGGATGATGAGGGGACAGAATCTGCATGTCATGACAAACATACTGAAGCTCTTTGACAGACAATGGGGGATGATGAGGGACAGAATCTGCATCTCATGACAAACATACTGAAGCTCTTTGACAGACAATGGGGATGATCGAGGGACAGAATCTGCATCTCGTGATGAACATACTGAAGTTCTTTGACAGACAATGGGGGATGATGAGGGGACAGAATCTGCATGTCATGACAAACATACTGAAGCTCTTTGACAGACAATGGGGGATGATGAGGGACAGAATCTGCATCTCATGACAAACATACTGAAGCTCTTTGACAGACAATGGGGGATGACGAGGGACAGAATCTGCATCTCATGATGAACATACTGAAGCTCTTTGACAGACAATGGGGATGATGAGGGACAGAATCTGCATGTCATGACAAACATACTGAAGCTCTTTGACAGACAATGGGGGATGACGAGGGACAGAATCTGCATGTCATGACAAACATACTGAAGCTCTTTGACAGACAATGGGGGATGATGAGGGACAGAATCTGCATGTCATGACAAACATACTGAAGCTCTTTGACAGACAATGGGGGATGATGAGGGACAGAATCTGCATCTCATGACAAACATACTGAAGCTCTTTGACAGACAATGGGGGATGATGAGGGACAGAATCTGCATCTCGTGATGAACATACTGAAGTTCTTTGACAGACAATGGGGGATGATGAGGGACAGAATCTGCATGTCATGACAAACATACTGAAGCTCTTTGACAGACAATGGGGGATGATGAGGGACAGAATCTGCATCTCATGACAAACATACTGAAGCTCTTTGACAGACAATGGGGGATGACGAGGGGACAGAATCTGCATCTCGTGATGAACATACTGAAGCTCTTTGACAGACAATGGGGGATGATGAGGGGACAGAATCTGCATGCCATGACAAACATACTGAAGCTCTTTGACAGACAATGGGGGATGACGAGGGACAGAATCTGCATGTCATGACAAACATACTGAAGCTCTTTGACAGACAATGGGGGATGATGAGGGACAGAATCTGCATCTCATGACAAACATACTGAAGCTCTTTGACAGACAATGGGGGATGATGAGGGGACAGAATCTGCATGTCATGACAAACATACTGAAGCTCTTTGACAGACAATGGGGGATGACGAGGGACAGAATCTGCATCTCATGAGGAACATACTGAAGCTCTTTGACAGACAATGGGGGATGACGAGGGGACAGAATCTGCATGTCATGACAAACATACTGAAGCTCTTTGACAGACAATGGGGATGATGAGGGGACAGAATCTGCATGTCATGACAAACATACTGAAGCTCTTTGACAGACAATGGGGATGACGAGGACAGAATCTGCATGTCATGACAAACATACTGAAGCTCTTTGACAGACAATGGGGATGATGAGGGACAGAATCTGCATCTCATGATGAACATACTGAAGCTCTTTGACAGACAATGGGGGATGACGAGGGACAGAATCTGCATCTCATGACAAACATACTGAAGCTCTTTGACAGACAATGGGGGATGATGAGGGGACAGAATCTGCATCTCATGACGAACATACTGAAGCTCTTCGACAGACAATGGGGGATGACGAGGGACAGAATCTGCATCTCATGAGGAACATACTGAAGCTCTTTGACAGACAATGGGGGATGACGAGGGACAGAATCTGCATCTCGTGACAAACATACTGAAGCTCTTTGACAGACAATGGGGGATGACGAGGGGACAGAATCTGCATGTCATGACAAACATACTGAAGCTCTTTGACAGACAATGGGGGATGATGAGGGACAGAATCTGCATCTCATGACAAACATACTGATGTTCATTGACAGACAATGGGGGATGACGAGGGGACAGATTATGATTAATATGAATCTCATGACGAACATACTGATGTTCATTGACAGACAATGGGGGATGACGAGGGGACAGAATCTGCATGTGATCATAACCATGCTCTTTGATTTATCGTTAATGTTGTTGCTGTCTAATTCTAACATTCCAGCTTCAGTAACCTACAGTTATAACAACCTCCTATTGACAGCTACTTTTAGTTTGCTTGACACATTTTCACAAAAATATAGAGCATGTGGCTAGGACCAAGAACCCCACTTAGTTCATCATATCTGCAAGTTTGTTATAGATGTGTTCATCATGACCATAGTTTATTGTATATGATGATGGTGACAGTCTGGATGTTGTTGGTAATGTTGCATTGGTGTAAATATGGTGGGTCTGCTGACAGTTGTGATGGGTAGAAAATAAGACATTGTTGGTATTTATAGCATTTTGGGGGGGGTTCCCAGGATTACAATGTTGTATGTAGAACAGTGATGTACAGACAGATGGATGATGTACAGGTACTATGTCAATATCATGTTAATACACATATATAAGTCAATAAAAGAGAAATATGACCTCAGGTAAATTGGATACATTTTAGATTCATCAAAGTACTGGGAAGAGAAGACCCCATTTATGATTGAAATCTTATATTATTTATAGCATTTGTATTAGGGTGAGTAGTAGTCTGTCTCACAGTCCCTGAACCACATTATTTTCCCTACTGCCTGCCCTCCCTGCAATGATAAACTCCCAAAGAAGCAAGTCTAGATTTCCCCAGGTTCTGAATCTCCAAACTCACCAGGGCTCCTTTTCAATTTACATGGGTTTGTTTGTTACTATCAAAATTATATATTCAGAGATTTAGCATTAGTTTAGGTGAGTAGGTACAGCAGGTCTTTGACTGGGTCAAAGGCTGGGCATTTTATGCAGCTTTATCTGCAACATCTCAACAACAGACAAGCCTGAACTACCCAAGCAGAACTAAATACCAGAACATTCTGAACAACAATGCTACCTGAATCTTAGATGATTGCTATAGCTATAGAAACTGGTTGAATTTGATTAACAGAAGCTGAGCACAACTGCTGAATATAGTGGCATTATACTCTCTGGGAATGGAGGAACAATCTGTGTGCTGAAATCAATACCTACAGCTGATTACATAAACACGCACAAACACTCACAGAACCATAGCAGATATTTTATAAGGCAGGAAACTATTCAGTCATCAGGCTTTTGTGAGGCTACAGAAGAACTGGTGAGATTTACAAGTAGCAACAGCAATAGAATCGATAGCCGGCCAGCAAATTACAGACACCTTACACAGTCTCAACACTCACATTCGCTGCCTTAACGTAAGAACAATGCTGTCTTTTTGTTACACAGCTATAATGTATTTCCTGGGGGAGATACAGGTAAGGCATTTGAATATGAAAATAACACAGGCCATGCCTAAATGGTACATTACAACATGGGTAGTAACATCTAATGTTATATATAAAATACAGATAAGACTTAATGTGGATTTATTATTTAACTAAAGCATTTAACTATGACATAAGCTTATGACATAAACACAGGTAATTCATACCTCATTGACATAAATATGCAAATTAGATTACTGGAAGTGGGACTTTTCGGTTAAGAGTACAGTTTGATTTGAAAACTACTGAATATTACCATAGATAAGCTGAAGTTTGAGGACGGAAAAAAGCAGTCTGTAGAAGGGGGTCGGCTTATCTATAGGTTACACTTTCGTCAAACCTTTTTTCAGGGTGTAAGAAAACAACATCGTATCACTTCACGTGAACAAACAAACAAGAGAGAACGACTTTGTCAGTAAAGACATCAAATTTGCAATTAAACATCACTTAGACAAGATAATTTACCTATTCAGTGCTAATTTGGTTTTGCTTGGCATTGTCTTATATGCAGGGTTAAGATTACCATGTGTAATTGTCTCGTCTACAGCGCCAGAAATAGCAATCAGCTGTGCAGTGCACACATTCCCCTACTGGTGAATTAGTTAAAACGTACCCGATAACATAATGAGATGAACTCTGATGCAGTGATCATAAGAATATAGTGAGTATCAGTGAAATCATACCGGATGTATAATTAGATGACACAGGATCATTGTTGTTACCGTTATTAAATTTTAAAATACTCTGCAAAACTCAGTTAAAGTAATTTTTATAAACAATCTGAGGAACTATACTTCTCAGCGAATGAATATTTGGTGTACAAAGCAATGGTAAACATATATCACTATGCATGATACATAAGATTTTGACAAGTTTTTGTAGATAATTTTGAGACATTTATTTCTTAAAAGGGTAAAAGTAATGTAAAAAAGATTAATATAGACGAATCCTCTAAATCTGACTCATTAAATACAGGTCATGTTACATCTTGCGTTATTCTACTCCTGGTGATGACTTAACATCAGCATGCTTACAAAACAAATTTTGTCATCTGTTCTCCTTTAATTATTTATACTGAATAACCACGTAGCCATGACAAAAACAGCCTTTGGTCGATAAGTTGTATTTTGAATACGTGATGAGAAGATACTGCAACTATAAGAATTCAAGATTCGAGATACGAGAATAACGAGGTGAATTCCATGATGTGTACAACACATGGAGAGACTAAACATAAAACCTAAAAAACCAACATTGTTTACAGAACTACCTCAAGTCTCTCAGGGAAGCACATTATGTTACAGAGCAAGTCAAAGTAATCCGCTCACCTGTGTCTCCAGTTTGGTGGAGGCATAGTCGTCGCTGATGCTGCAACAAGACATGTGGTTCAGTACTTGGTAAACTCTTACATGTAAGATGGTAGACTGAGACAAAGTTACTTAAAAGCAACTACAGGTACAAGCAATACTAACTTTCAGACAAACACTAGTGACTACACACCTTAATTCGTGTAAACTAAGAGTGATAAACAGCTAGGTAACAGTGTTCTGATTACCTGGATATATATCATACCTGTAACAAGGTGTCATTGACAGGTTACAGTGTCATGATTACCTGGATATATCACACCTGTAACAAGGTGTCATTGACAGGTTACAATGTCATGATTACCTGAATATATCACACATGTAACAAGGTGGCTCTTTGCAAGTAACAATCCCATGATTACCTGGATATATCCCACTTGAAACAAGGTGTCATTGACAGGTTACCATGTCATGGTTACCTGAATATATCACACATGTAACAAGGTGGCAGTTTACAGGTAACAATCCCATGATTACCTGGATATATCACACATGTAACAAGGTGGCAGTTTACAGGTAACAATCCCATGATTACCTGAATATATCACACATGTAACAAGGTGGCAGTTTACAGGTAACAATCCCATGATTACCTGAATATATCACACATGTAACAAGTTGGCAGTTTACAGGTAACAATCCCATGATTACCTGGATATATCACACATGTAACAAGGTGGCAGTTTACAGGTAACAATCCCATGATTACCTGAATATATCACACATGTAACAAGGTGGCAGTTTACAGGTAACAATCCCATGATTACCTGAATATATCACACATGTAACAAGTTGGCAGTTTACAGGTAACAATCCCATGATTACCTGGATATATCACACATGTAACAAGGTGGCAGTTTACAGGTTACAATGTCATGATTACCTGAATATATCACACATGTAACAAGTTGGCAGTTTACAGGTAACAATCCCATGATGTGGGAGAAAGCCTGAGATAATACAGGTCCAAGATGATCACCACATCTGGGTATAACCAGTGATGCATGGTGTGTCAGCTAGATGTGGGAGAAAGCCTGAGATAACACAGGTCCAAGATGATCACCACATCGGGGTATAACCAGTGATACATGGTGTGTCAGATAGATGTGGGAGAAAGCCTGAGATAACACAGGTCCAAGATGATCACCACATCAGGGTATAACCAGTGATGCATGGTGTGTCAGCTAGATGTGGGAGAAAGCCTGAGATAACACAGGTCCAAGATGATCACCACATCGGGGTATAACCAGTGATACATGGTGTGTCAGCTAGATGTGGGAGAAAGCCTGAGATAACACAGGTGCAAGATGATCACCACATCAGGGTATAACCAGTGATGCATGGTGTGTCAGCTAGATGTGGGAGAAAGCCTGAGATAACACAGGTCCAAGATGATCACCACATCGGGGTATAACCAGTGATACATGGTGTGTCAGCTAGATGTGGGAGAAAGCCTGAGATAACACAGGTCCAAGATGATCACCACATCAGGGTATAACCAGTGATGCATGGTGTGTCAGATAGATGTGGGAGAAAGCCTGAGATAACACAGGTCCAAGATGATCACCACATCGGGGTATAACCCGTGATACATGGTGTGTCAGCTAGATGTGGGAGAAAGCCTGAGATAACACAGGTGCAAGATGATCACCACATCAGGGTATAACCAGTGATGCATGGTGTGTCAGCTAGATGTGGGAGAAAGCCTGAGATAACACAGGTCCAAGATGATCACCACATCGGGGTATAACCAGTGATGCATGGTGTGTCAGCTAGATGTGGGAGAAAGCCTGAGATAACACAGGTCCAAGATGATCACCACATCGGGGTATAACCAGTGATACATGGTGTGTCAGCTAGATGTGGGAGAAAGCCTGAGATAACACAGGTCCAAGATGATCACCACATCAGGGTATAACCAGTGATGCATGGTGTGTCAGCTAGATGTGGAGAAAGCCTGAGATAACACAGGTCCAAGATGATCACCACATCGGGGTATAACCAGTGATACATGGTGTGTCAGCTAGATGTGGGAGAAAGCCTGAGATAACACAGGTGCAAGATGATCACCACATCAGGGTATAACCAGTGATGCATGGTGTGTCAGCTAGATGTGGGAGAAAGCCTGAGATAACACAGGTCCAAGATGATCACCACATCGGGGTATAACCAGTGATACATGGTGTGTCAGCTAGATGTGGGAGAAAGCCTGAGATAACACAGGTCCAAGATGATCACCACATCAGGGTATAACCAGTGATGCATGGTGTGTCAGATAGATGTGGGAGAAAGCCTGAGATAACACAGGTCCAAGATGATCACCACATCAGGGTATAACCAGTGATGCATGGTGTGTCAGATAGATGTGGGAGAAAGCCTGAGATAACACAGGTCCAAGATGATCACCACATCGGGGTAAAACCCGTGAGCATGGGTATGGGGCCGACCAAGAAACATTATCAGGGCGAGTCTTGGATTCAAACCCACTATCACAGGCTACAAGCACACCTAAGGAAAGCAACTATGCATACTGAACCCTGTAGACTTATCTGACATGATCCACTGTACAAACGAAACAATAATTTTATCTTCAACACCTGCCATATAAAAGTGTCAGTACTCACCTGCCTGGAGGCCCACTCATCTTCAGTTGTGGGGTGGGGCTGCAAGTACAAAACAGCATTGTCAGCAATTATATCACATGAAATGTGTGCATGTATCATGTGTATATCTGTGGATGTACAAACATGTCACACATACAACAAAGTGATGCCTGTTGGCTGGGGTAGCACTGGCTGAATGCAGTTGTTACATAAACCAGACACACAATGTAACACTCACAGACGAAGAATTTCATATTCTAAATTTACAAGTCTCTACAAAAATTTCACAGACAATCAAAAGCTCAATCTGAGATAAAATGCTTATACCCAGGTCCTCTCTGCTTATGATAACTAGGGTGAGTGAGTAAATGTTGCGTAAAGCCACATCAGCAATTCTGCAGTTCTTCCCAGCTACATAATAAGTAGAACCAACATTGAGAGTTAAAGTCTATGCATAAACTCCAACAGGCTATATAGCATTATTCTGGAAGTCATGTGATATGTGATAAGCAGTGATATTGACCAGTGCTGGCATCCCTTGGTCTCAGTGACAGTTAGGCTATATCAGGTTATGAAAACTGATAAGGCTTGGTAGCACCTGTCAGCTTCAATATTGTCACATGAACAACCCTTCCAGGAATGGCAACAGTGGTTTGCTTGAATGTAGTTAAGTAGTATGGCCAGTGTGAATCTTGGACAAACATGTAATTTTTAGAGTGAATTAGGACACAATTAGGGCAATCTACGCACCTGTACTACTGTGCCCACCCGGCTGACTGACAACATCCCTTTACATCTGACCTTGATGACAAAGGCTGTTTACCACTTTCTTCCACCTGATGGAGACACAAATGCTCTGAGATGGAGCCTAGATGAGACTAAAATACTCATAACCATAAAGTCTAGACATTCTTAAACATGTTAAATAGGTAAAGTTTATCATTATCAGATAAACCTTCTTATAAATGCATCCTTCCACTGGATTACTGAATGATATTAAATATAAACAAAGTGGAAATATCGCTTTGAAATGACGTTTAGAAGTGATAAATAGATAAAGGGAAATACATGGATGGCCTAATCCTACAAGTTATAGGAATATGAAGCGTTTTTGGAGTTTATTTTTTACTGGTAGATTAAGGGAATGAGGTAATTATAATCCAAAACGTAATGTTCCCACAAGAAATACATGAAAGCCATA